ATTGGGACCCTCTTTAAAGTGTTTTCGCCGCCGCTTATTCAGGACATGGCCAATGTTTGGGTGACCCTCTTTAATGTGTTTTGTTTTGGGCCCCTAAAAATATGGGACCGAATCCAGACCATCCCTTTTAAAGTAATCCCCAGGCCTCCCCGGGCCCTCAGTACCGTGGGAGCCTTATTGAGGACGTCCTATTTTTGTTTTTCGGAGGCCCGTCTTGTTTGGGGGGGGGCCTTAAGATTAAACAGGGTGCAACATTAATCCATAATCTGTAAGATCTGTGCGTTGAACATTTGAAGCGCAGGTCTTTACAGAAATGGATCAGGCTACAATGAGTAGCGCCCTTTCCGTGGTTGAACAAAGTAAGATACTACTCCGTATAAGAAATGCTTTGCCGAAAAAGAGGATATGATCTTAATCCATATTGGGCACCATATCATTATTAGTATTCACGGACTTTTATTGGGTACCGTATATCACCAAATCAACTACTACTCACATTATGCAAAGCAGAGCAAAGCGTCGGTCCTGCCAGCCCCACTAGAATTGCTGTCCGTTGGGAGATGACTTAAGGTGACTACAAGAGATGGTGGCGCTGTTTTAAATGGCCCCTCTACATATTCCTGTTGTACCACTAGTACTGGGAAGCGGCCTCAGAGATCACCAGTTTCAAGGCTTTGCCCACAACATCTATTTTGCCGCTGGCTCATCGGTTGAAGTTCGCGGAATCGCAAGGCTGTACTGCATGCTGGGTGTGAATTTCAAATTAAGAGTCTCCTCGATACCCTCAGACAGCTCTCCGAATGTAGTCCTTTTGCTGAGGACCCCCACAAACCCTAGGGATCCAAATAGCCGAAGGTAGGTGATATTTACAGACTTGTGGGGCCCAATGTAGGTATCATTTGTGACATGGATCCCTAGGGAGAGGATTGGCCTAACCACAAAGCCCTATAAAACATCTTGGGCTTTGCTAGCCGGGTGGCAGAGTGTTGTGCTTTCTCCATTCAGCCCATGCAGCAGTGGCATCAAAGTCCTCTGCAACCATGTCTGCCAGGGAAGGACCTCAGAGTTACGCATGGTTAAACCGTAAAGCCGAGGTTGAGGCTTGAAGGACGGTTCAGGGTTCAGGAGTTATAGGGCTTGGGTTTCGGGATTTGGCCCCCATTTACTCTCCAACCGATTTTGCCCTTCATGTAAGGAACCTGACTGAAGAGGACTCCTACTTCATGAGAGTCTGCGGGAGTGCCCAGCGTATATAATTCTTTGCCAGACCATCGCTCTCAATTCAACCCCAAACCCCACATCATAGTATATTGGGTGCTTCCATTTTCTCTTCCATTATCCCTATATAGCCCTATATTACCCTATACTACCCCCAATATTACCCCAAGTATAGCGTACGTAAGTCTTCGCCAGACAGTGGCTCAATTCCAACGACTCTCTCTCTCTCTCTCTCTCTTGAAGACTCCCGGTGACAAGGCCTGTAGGCCATAATGTAGGAGTATATTGGGGTTTATACAGGGAATAGGGAAAAGAAAATGGAAACTACACTTTAGGGTTTAGGGCTTAGGCTTGTAGGCCATGTACGCCAAGACGCGAGCTCCAACGGACAGAGGCAATGGTCAAGGCGTGCCAGCGTCCAAATAGCTCACTGTGGAATGTTTCTTTGGACTGCAAGAATAATGACAGCAGTTCGCATCTAGATTGTTCCCCTAAACCCTGGGCCCCATAACATGGCGCGTATCCAGGTGCAACCTTGTCTCGGAGGTTACAATTCTGCATTGTTTGCTGCAGCCTGCCTACACCCATGCTGGGTGCTGATCATGTTTCTTCTTTTGTCTTGTGGGACTTGTCAGGAAACGTTTGGTCAGGTTCCTCCCGGCCATGTTGTGACCATGCGAATGCCACTGCTTTCCAGGCAAGACTGCTGCGATGACCGAGCACCATTAATAACACTAGTTCAGCAACAAGAGCACTTTGCAATTGCAAAAGCCAAGCTACTCAAAGTCCTGACAGCAAAGCCCGCCCTAAACTATGCGCCCCGTTTGTGCGACTGTGCTACCACGTGGGCTCAAGCCGCCCCGCTGAGCCAAAAGCAGCCAGCACGTCCAAGACCCGGTATAAATGAATACATTCATAAATAGATAAATACATATATATATATTTGGAGTTTATAAGGGTTATATAAGGGTTATATGGGGATAATGGATAAGAAAATGGAATCTACTATTAGGGTTTAGGGCTAAGGTTTTAGGGTATAGGCTTACTTTTAGGAAGACCCCCCACCCTGCAATAGGAACTATAAGGGATAACAAGGAATATATCAGGGTCCTATTACATTCCTACTATGCCACTATTACAGGGTTTAGGGGGGTCCTCCTAAGCTTACTTGTGCTTAGAGTTTGATGGGTTTGGGGGGGCCCTTTACGAAGGTTACAGCGATGTACCAGGCCAAGGGTTTTGAGTCATACGTATTTGGAATACGGAAATGGATCCCCATAGTAGTCCCGATAGAACCTCCCATCAAAAAAAAGGTTTCCAATTAGGCATATGCAAACCAAATGAGTCCCTACATGAGCTATAGTCTAAACTCCTAGTATCCCCCTTAATAAGCCCGTTTGCACTTTAGGTCACATCACTGCAACTTTGCCAGGGCTTAGGATTTAGGGGTGATCCCCCACCTGCAGAGACCCAATGTAATTGCCATGATCCTTTTGGTCAATGTCAATGGTTTAGGGTTTAGGGTTTAGGGTTTAGGGTAATGAGTGGGTGGAGTGCTTGTTAGATGCAGGGTCAGGGCATTACCCTGAAGAAAGCAAAGAAACACCAAGCAGGGAGATATGCGGATTCATGAGTGGCCCCCGCCCAATAATGAACACACCGAATACTAAAACAGTATTATATCAAGGGGGAATAATCATTATGGTGCGGGTGTCAGGGTCATTTATTATAAGGGGGTGGATTTTTGTTAGTTGGAATTCTAGTTGGGGTTAGAACCGAGACTGAAGGCTAGTGTTTAGGGATGGGATGCCAGGATCCCTAAGCTAGGGTAGGCTTGGGGGCCCTGTAAAAACTAACTTCGTTTATGGCGAGAGAATTATGTAGGAAATATGGGTAGCAAAAATTGAACGTATTTTCAAACCTACCCCTGTAAGCGCATCGAGCTGCGCGGGTAAGGACATACTGAGACACCTCTCATGCAACCATCCAAACACCTCTCCCTCCAACATACGCCCCTGATGACCAATTCCGGAACATTTGAGCCATAATCTAAACTCCTAGTATCCCCCTCAATAACCCCTATAGTAGTCCACCATATAATCCCCTATATAACCCCCTCTAAGGAGTTTAGACTATAGCTCATTTGGATTCTTCATAGCGTCATGCAGTTGCTTCTCGAAGTGCCCCCCGCCTTGTGGGGGAAGATGCCCGGTCGCGGCCGGAAGGATTCTTTCGGCATGGTGGGTGGCACCTATACAGGGTACAGGGACTAGTATAGGAGCTTGCACAAGGGATGCAAGCATGAGACATGGACAGAATGGGCTATACAAACATCACGCTCAACAGGCTGGTCAAGGAGAATGCTTGTCAGCTCACGAGCTTCCTTGAAATGAGTGTGGGAATCCTGTACGTTGAAATCCATGCTGCCTAATTCTATTGTGCGGGTAGCTCGGCTTGGCATTTTGACCCTGTCAAAAAACCATGATTACAGCAGCTGCCTGCAGCATCGCCGTGAAGGGAACGCCTCCAACATGCCAGCCTCAACCAGCGATCAACTTCTCATGCAGGAAACTGAATGTAGAAGCGCGGGAACAATGGCAACAGCACAGGATTCAGATACTATCAGGGTTGAGCACAATGTAGGTATTATTTGTATATACTTGGATCCCTAGGGCAAGTCCTCGTACATTTCAGAGTCCAGAGGCCCCGGCGCTCAGTTGGCTGGGCTAGGTCGGACACCACTGCCTGAGAAGTAGCGATGCTTCAGTAGTACCCAATATTACCCCAATAATGGAAAATCAAATGGAAAAGAAAATGGAAAATGAAATGGAAGCTGGGATTATGTAGGGGTAGATTGCTGGAGAACTTCCCCCAAATCCTGAACGGGGACCCATTCACATGCAGCTTTCACGCAAGGTCCCCTAAACCCTAAACCCCACCATACCAGCATTTGAATGAGGTCCCCGTTCAAAAGGATTCCACATCTGAACGTGGTTGAGGTTTCAAGTTGAGGCCGCTCCGGCTTAGGCAGCATCTCTTCCTCAATAGCATGTACGCGTTGTTCGGACCTCTCCGACTTCGCCAAACACACTATCAAGATGGATTGTTTTTTTACTTTTCCGGTATTCTTCATGATATTCTCCACAGATCTTTAGGACCCAGAATTCCATCACCATGTTTGAGTCATATTGTTTCGATACTGCACCCCACACCCTATAGCAGTGCCCCAAAGACTGCAAGTGCAGAAAGTGTTTAGCCTTAGCGAGGTTTCTATGTATGACTGTTCTGGGTGGGAACAATACCCAAAACACAACAGAAGCACGCTTCTCTGGGCTTGGCACCATGTACCCGTTGTGCCCTCTGGACGTCAGGATTGCCGCGCAACCGCCTGAACATTATCGCTAGCTATACGATCAAAGCCAGTCTTTTGACAAAAGCAGCTGTGCAAGCAGCATGGACAAACGTTGTGCAAACAACATGGTCATGATGAGCGTGATGAAGCCTGCGCTAGCAAGACAAAGGTGGAAAACATCATCATTGTCATATCACCGTTGTCATACCACAAGCAAGATCACTATGATAATTGGCAGCAGTTGGCCATGGCCAAACTCACAACCCAACAACAAAAAGGTAAGCGCAGCTTCAATACAATCGCTATGCCAGTAAGGCTGACTGCATTGTATCTCCAGAGGGGGCGCCTAGTGCATAGGCATAGTCGCTGTCGAAATCCGAGGGAACTGAGCAGCGGGCCTCGTGGTTTGCTCGCTACGCTGGGTTCAAGCATTTAAGTTGTCAGGTTTCCGGAGGTGGATAGAGAGGAAGGATGCTTTCCAAAAGTTTGAAGTCTGATGGCGATGTTGGTCTTTGGGCTCAGGATTTGAATTGCAATATTGCGCTACGCCTGCCATGACGTCAAAGCAGGATACCCAAAACCCAAGGTTGCAATATGTTGCAGTGCTCGCATTGTACAAGTGCTGCTGTTGGTTCCAGGTCAGTGCGTGCGGCATTGATTCTTATTGTGCTTTATTGATCTACGCGCTGACATACCAACCATGATCCACGCAAGTTGCTGCTCCCCTAGCCCAGCACGACAATCGAGTCTGAACGATCACGACCTAAGTGGCAAGGCTTCGGGTGCTGTATCACTTCCTTTGATGATGCTGGTTGCTTGCGCTAGGCATTCCATATGCCCATCACATACATTCCGAACATATGGAAGCTTCCCAAAGTCATACCTACACAATTCCTAAGCGGGACCCCTATAACCTCCAGATGTAGCACATTCATCCCTCGATTCCCTATGCCTCTAAGGGCACCTCCATTTCAAGGAACCCCCACATCTCCAAAGCGATGGATTGGGGCACAGCCTGGTAGCCCAAGAACTGGCAAACTGGCGAGAAGCTGCCCTTGAAGGTGCCCTGGCATGTTGCCCTAGGTTTAGGGTTTAGGGTTTAGCCCATTATAGTAGTCTCCATTCTCTTTTCCATTATCGCAATATACCCCAATATAGCCCTAATATTACCCCAAAGGCTATTATGGTAACCCATAATAGGCCTAGTTCTTTTTGGAGGGTTCCAGGGTCGAATTGTTTTTGGGGTCTAGGAGTTTACCTTTTCCTTTAAGGTTAAGGGCTCTAGCTTTATCTTTTCGGGTTTGGTTTAGGGTCTCAGTGGTGATGGCAGGATGAGGTTTGTAGGTTTGCATACACGATGCGTTTGTGTAGCAGACTGATTCATACCAGCAGGGTTCAACCTAGACGCAAGCAATTCTGAAAGTGGCTCCTATCTTCAGCATGCTGCTTGAGCGTGGTTGCGAAGCAGTCACGGCTTCAGGATCTGATGCCTTTTTTGTTTACTGGGCACCTTATCACATTTGCAAGTCTTTTACAAACAGTTTGAGCAAGTTTCACGGAGTCTCACGCGAGTATTTCCACAAGTATGCGTACCCCCAACTTATTTTGCTCTATTACGTTGACCTCAAACGGGACCCCAATTTTGGAAATCCCCGCGTCAAGAAGCAGCAGCAGCAGTGCAACAGCGGCAGCAGCAGTTGTCGCTGCTGCCTGCTTCTTGCGATGCTTGAGCTCGTCCTCAACCTAGGCCAGTAGCAAGACAAAGCTATGCGCTCACAGGAGATTTATGGGGCGTTGTAAGGACGGCTTTATGAAAGGATTCTATTGTGAGTATCTGAGTATGTGGGAGGTTGCGAAAGCTAGGGGCCCCATGTTGCGCAGCCTTGTTTGAGGTTGTCACGCTTGGACAATACGAAAGCTCTTGCCAAGGAGGTGGCCGCTCTCCGCAGCGTAAGTACTGAAAGTGAACCTGCGCTAACCCCCAAACGCCAAAGACCCTAAACAAGTTACAAACCCGAAAGCTCTAAACCCTGAACCCTGAACCCTAAAACCCCAAAGGCCCAAAATCCAAGAGACCCTAAACCTTAAACCCTGAACCCTGAACCCTAAAACCCTAAAGACCATAAAACCCTAAAGATCCTAAACCCTTAACCTTAAACCCTGAACGCCTAAAACCCTAAAGACCTAAAGACCCTAAACCTTAAACCCTAAAGACCCTAAAACCCCAAACCCAAAGGACCCTAAAACCCTAAAGACCCTAAAGCCCTAAACCCCCTAAACCTCTAGAAATATCTTAGCCCTAAGGACCCTAAAGACCCTAAAACCCCAAACCCTAAGAACCCTAAAGCCCTAAACCCCCTAAACCTCTAAAAATATCTTAGCCCTAAGGACCCTAAAGACCCTAAAACCCCAAACCCTAAGAACCCTAAAGACCCTAAGCTCCACACCAGCCACGCCATGAGGCGCTCGGTCTCAAGCTGAGAGAGCTGGAGAGCCGCGTTGCTCTGCCTGAAGGCTTGGCTAGGGTTTTGGGTTTAGGGTTTAGGGTTTAGGGTTAGGGTTTAGGGTTTAGGGTTAGGGTTTAGGGTTTAGGGATACTATGGGGTTTATATAAGGGTTCTTTAGAGGTTATATAGGGATTATATAGGGGTTATATAAGGTTTATATAAGGGTTATATGGGGGATTATGTAGGAATAATGGAAACGAAAACGGGAACTACTATTTAGGGTTTAGGGTTGATGGTTTTGTCAACATTTGGTTTCCTGAAATAAAGGCTATTGAGCTACATGGGGGGTATGAGGGGGTTTATGTAGGGATAATGGGAAAGAAGATGGAAGCTGCTATTTAGGATCACGGTTTTGGGTTTGGGGCCAAGGCTTCGGTTTTTGGGTTTCAGTCTTCGGGCTAATGATTATGTCCGGTTTAGGGCTGGAGGCGTAGCGCTTATGAGGCTCGAGGGGCTTCAAGTTTTCAGAACTTAGAAGGGACTACCTGGACACCAAAGGTAGGTAAAATAATAGCCCAAACCTCCCAAAATAGCCCAGAAGGCCATTATTCTACGTACTTTTGGGCTTCAGGTAGGGTTCAGGGTCAAATATGGGGTTTTAAAGACAACAACTCGTTTAAGCCGGGTAGCTGCCTGAAGGTCTCCTAGGCCCCGGAAACAGTTGTTCACGTGAGCCATAGACTAAACTCCTTAAAGGGGGTTATATAAAGGATCATGTAGGGAATACTACAGGGGCTAGGAAAGCGGATACTAGGAGTTTAGACTATGCTTCATGTTCGCTATGGTGATGTTTTAGCGAATCTGGACAGGATCGCCAAGAGTTCTGTCCACATCATAGGTCAGAGTGAAGGACTTCTGCATCTCTTGAGACCCAGGAGCCTCATTTGCCCACCAGCCTAGCTTACTCTGGGTGCAAGTTCAAGTTGCAATCTAACAGACTCGCGGCAAATGATCAGTACCAAGAAATCCTCCAAGTTTGCCGCGCGCATGGATGAGGAGGTATACCCGGACTTATCAGCAAAACAAACATGCTGCAGAAGTCGTTGTGAAATGTGCTTGACAGCGGATGGCTCTTCCCGAGCAAAGTTGGGAAAAACGCTTTGAGAGTTGCCCTCTGGCCAGAAGAGGGGCAAGAGTCTACAGCTCACAGAGAAAAGTGGATATCAATAATAAGCCCTAGCTCTACGACGCTTTTTCATGATACCAGGTAGACCCACACATGCGTCAACACCACAAGTCAGTTGGCCTTTTGTTACGGACTGCCCATCTCAGTTTTGCTACTTCTGAATGCCTTGCATGTCCTGTCGCACGACAACCACGAAGAGTTCTTCACCATGGCTATTCACATGCTATGGAGACTGAGAGTAGGGCATAACAGCTACCATTGAACAATCAGGACTGGGCCTGGCCAGCAAAAGCTGTTTCTGGATGAACTCTGGCAGGCTCTGGAACAGAGCGGCAGACCTTAACCCGATCATGCAAGAGATTGGATGGTTTGGGATGTGGACGCCTGCGCAAACCTGACCAAATTGCTGTGGGACATGCTTCTTGCCCAGCTACGCCTGATGGGGATCGTATCTCTGGTGCCTACCCGCCTATCGGACCGGTAGGGGCAGGGTTGCACAAGCCATCTGTCACCAGGTCCCTACCAGGTTTGCAAACCTTGCAAGGACACGCTTTAGAAGCTCCCAGCCGGAGAAGCCAGAGTAGCAACAGGACAAGTAGAAGCAGTGGTAGGCACAAGAAATAGCAGTAGCAGTAGAAGCAGCAGTAGATGGCGGCTGTGGTGGTACCTCTAGCTTTTTCATGACATGGTAAGGGCTCCACCAAGTTGTCAGTTTGGGCAGGACCTGCCAGCAGTTGGGAAGTCCTTCCGCAAAGGCCTTAATACAATGACTCATAGGGCTTATGACCGGCAGTTGCTTCTCCAGATTACCGCGTATACCCCCAGCTACATCTCCTATACTTATTCCAAGTGCCCCTGCCTCGATGACTGACCGATTAAGAATGTGGATGCGCCCAGGGGTTATGATAAAGTTGGCCCACATGTTGATCTCCAATCCAGCGCACTTCCTAGTGTACAGTCCTTGTAAATATCTAGGCGTATAGAGGATATTCCTCATACTCACGGCCGACAACACCCAACTGACAAATTGGCGTCTGCAAAAGTCAGGCATCCCTTTTTTCAGTTCCGATTCTCATAAGAAGTTTTGCACGATGGGTACCCCTCTTTTGTCCCGGAAAGCATTTGAAGTATTGCAACATCAGTTCAATTGTCACAGACACATATGTATATATATATATATTTATGTACCTGCCTACGAACGCCCCACATAGCTCTGGTACGCCCTGGATGCGGGGTACTCCTCCTCAAGTACAACTACCTTCAAGTTGTGGCAACTTTCGTAAATTCCAAGTGGATGCACTGTGTAGTGCAGTCCGAAACCGGCTGCTGTGGAGGTACTGAACTCAAGTTATCATGTCGAAGCCTTGTTCTTTCTGCACATACGAGAATTCATGCCCCTCAACAGAAATCAAGCTTATCCACAAAGAAGTGTCCCATGATTTGCCCAGCGCCGCTACTTCGGAGCCTTTTCCACAGTGCTGGGCATCGGCAGCGCCTCGCAAAGGCAATGCTGATGGCACTGATTCGTCAGGTTTGTCATGACAATGAGTAATCGTTTTGACCTTGCACATGACAGCAAAAAATGCTCCTCACAGTAGCTTCTGCTAAAGTCCTTAGTAGTCCTTACGTTAAGGACTACAGAATGAGAAATCAAGGAGATGCCCTGGGATCGAACATTTGAGACACCACTGATGCCCTAGCTCGGCAGTGGATCTCCACAAGGACGCCTACATACACCAGGACCACCCTCCTGCCTTCCAGCAGCCTGCTTATACGCTTAGATAGGGGTAGAGCTTAGGGACAATTAGGGTTTAGGCTTTGAAGTGCCCGTACCATTCTTGTACCCTTCAATAACGGGTATTAAGCTCAAATAGAAGGTCTCGGCAAGAATCCGTAAATATAGCACCATGTACGTGTGCCCACGTGCATTCCCCCTCTAAGCCTTAAATCCGAAACTTCTAAATTGCCCTAAGCCCCGAACCACTAAACTCGAATAGCCCTACCCCCAAAAACTAAACCCTGAGATTAGAACAATCCTATAAGATCCCCTCTACAACCGCTAAAGTACCCGAAACAAAACCCTGCCTAATACCCATATCAGACGTTAAATCCTAAGCTCGAGAGTCATAACCCTCAACCCTAGACCCTAAATCCTAAATTCAAACCCTAAACCCCAAATCCTAAACCCTTAACCGAACGGGACGTCTAAGTGAGCCTCGAGCTCGGTGATCAGCGTGCGGAACTCCGGGATGGCGGCCTGCGCTACTTGGAGGTTCTGAGTTTAGGGTTTTAGGCTTTTAGGTTTTGGGCTTTAGGTTTAGGGTTTTAGGGTTTTAGGGTTAAGGGTTTGGGGTTTCAGGGTTTTAGGTTTTGGGTTTTGGGTTTTAGTGTTTAGGGTTCAGGGTTTAACAAGGTTCTGTACGCCCAATTACTTGCAGTGTTATGGGTCACACCTATTGAGGTGTGATTACTATTTAACTGTAGGTAATTGGGGTTACAGGTAGGGTTTTAGGATTAGGGTTTAGGGTTTCAGGATTATGTAGGGTTATACCGGGGAGATATAGAGGCTACATAAGTCTTAGGGATATTACTCACGGCGTACAAAGTAGGGTAGGGGGTACTTAGCCCCACTATAACTGTACTTAAACCAATTTCGAACCATGATATTTGGAGACTTCAGGGCGTCTAAGTGGGTTATGAGCCCAGGTAAGTAGGTCATCTGGACCCTGAACCTCCACTAGATGCATGGATATGGGGCTTTGCAAAAACGCTGTCTGATCAGGACGAATATGATATATGTCGGGAAACACAAGGGGCCGCTACTTTGAAACTGGCCATGGGAGCTTCTTCGGTCCTAGCACACTCTGCATTTCTCAGAGCACGTTCTTTTCTATGGGAAGTCCATCGGAACCTTGCAATCAAATTGTGGTTACATCATGCACTCAGCCAACATGATGGGATGTCCAGCGAGGTGATTTCGAGCTGTCATGCTCTCATGCCATGTCCTTCATCAAGCAAACTACTCCAGACAATTATTGTACCCCTCAACTGCATGCCAAGCAAGAAAAGCGATTGCTGTGGGAAGAGGCGTGCCAGCAAGCCCTCCGCCACGAGGACCGTTCCTGAGGGATCAAAAACATAAGGAATACATTGGATCTAGGGCTCAAAGGCTTAAAGCTTGCAAAAGAGGACTACCATGTCCTCAAGCATTTCAGCCACTTTACATCCCATCTCCCTGCCCCCAGCACTTTCAGCACAACCAATCCAGAGCGTGGAATGCATTGCATTATCAATCGGATGAAGTCAGAGAGATGCGCATCCCCTTCATTAGCGGCCAGGCACTAGCTCTATAGAGATTTAAAAAAGGTGGCTTTGTCGGTTGGCTTCCTGGCAATATGGACTGAGGTACCTGCCGAAGTTTTTGCCCGCTTTTGCACGGTCAGCAACGACCTGCTGGACACATCTGCGTGTCTGTTGCTGCAGGTGTCTTGACAATCAGTGGCCCTAAGCCAGGGGTCTGCAACTCTCTCTACATGTAGCTTGCAATCTTGCAAAGAAGCGAAGTATGCAGCTTTCTAGAAGCGTAATTCGGTCTATGTAGGCTCCCGGCATCAGCGATGTCGCTGACGAGCTCCCTGAGCGACGTGCGGTGGTCATCCACCTGCCGCCGTGCTTCCCGATGGCCGCAATATGTCACTGTACACTTTTGATAATATTAGGGGGGTTCCCATTAGGTGTACTTTTTTGGGGGTCCCAATAATAAGGATAATAATAGTTTGGGGTCTATATTGGGGTCCCCCTATTTATGGAAACTACCGTTGATGACTCAGGGGCCTTCTGTTCAGCTTCCAGCCTGGCTTCCTTGCTTTCACAGTATTGCCATTAATGGCATTGGTGTTCTTCGTGGTTATGCAACCATGCAGGGATGTGTTTGCAACTGCCATGCCCTATTTGCTGCGTTTCAACATCAACCTCACACAGGCTAAGGCTGTATCAATACACTTGGCGTGGCTAAACCTTTACTAGATAGAATGATGGCAAAGTCAGTAGTAACAGAGCTATGCTAAACGCCAGACGCATAAATCTATGCAGCGTAGTCGCGGAAGTACGGCAGTTCAACACTCACGCTGCTGCTCCGCATTGTGCTGCGTAGATGATGAAGAAATGCTACTGCTAAGCTCGCACAGAGCCTGCTATTGAGATGATTCCCGAACCCCTAGACACGCAAGCGGTCGTTTTTATTCTCATTAAATTCCTTCTGCTAAACCCTTTGGTTGACATCTTACAAAGTGCTGCTTTAACGAACCTTCCATGAAGTATCTTCGGTGACCCGCGGCCACAGTGCTCGCATATTTTGAGATTGACCTCAAGTTTTGTGTCGCCAACAAGTCAACTGAAGCCTAGCGCGATAAAAAGCTGCTTGGGACGCGAAAGCCCTAAACTCTGTCCCCATTCGGGCGCCTCTATAAACCCTATATTATGAATCCCCACCCTGAACCCTAAAGCCTATATTATAAACCCTAATCCCCAAACCCTAATCCCTAAACCCCAAACCCTAGCTCCTAAACCTAAACTCTAATCCCAAAACCCTTATAATCCCCAAACCCTAAACCTTAAACCCCCCATAGCCCAACCCATGGAAGCTACTCGGAGCCTTGCCTCCTCAGTGAGCAGAAGCAAGTTAGGCTTGGTCTCCAGAGCAACTTCCAAGGCCACATGGGAAGACGGCACCTTGCCTGTGTAGGATGTTGGAGGGTTACCGTAAACCGTAAACCCTATTTAGGAGGTGTAGGATGTTGGGGGCTTAGGGTTTAGGAGTTTAGGGCATCTTGTCTGTGTAGGATGTTAGGGGTTTAGGGTTTAAGGGTTTGGGGCTTAGGGGGCTAAGGGTTTAGGAGTTTAGGGCTTAGGGTGTAGGAGTTTAGGGTTTCAGGGGCTTAGGGTTTCGGGTTTATAGGGGGCTTAGGGTTTAGGGTTTAGGGGGCTTAGATTTTAGGAGTTTAGAGTTTAGGGTTTTTGGGGTTGTACCACAATATAAAGGTTACATAGGGATATACTTGCAGGGGTATAGGGTTTAGGAGTTTAGGGTCTTTGGGGCTGTACCACGACGATATAAGGGTTCTATCGGGATATACTTCAAGGAAATGGTTACCTCAAGAATGGAGAATCAAATCTATGGATGATATGGGGTTATAATGGGGGTACACAGGCCTTCTACAGAAGCGTAGGGTTTTAGGGCGTTTCCTTGACAAGGAGGTTGTGAGGAAACCTCTGGCTATTTAAGGTTTACAGACGTTCCTGCTATGGGCTGTATGCGCGCCATTGTGTAACTTTCACATCTCTTTTCACTTCGCAGAATAGCAACAGACTTAGGCTTTCTGGATGCCTTTCGTGGCAATCAGGAACCAACAGGATTCTAAAGAGAAAAGTCAGTGAAGGTACCAAAGGCTTAGCGTTCGGAGCTGAACTCAGTGAGCTGGATTTGGGCTTAGGATGTAGCTTGTACCCTACGCCCTACACCCGAAATGTAGGTTTATGTTGGGGGTGGCAAGGCTTTGTTTGCGGAATTCTGCCGCGACGGCTTGGAGCCAATTTTAGCCCGCACAGTTTGGGGTCACTTTATAAGGCCTAAGCCTTTGTCTTGAGGGGCTGACAGGGGCAACCTGTTAATCTTGAAAGTCTATTTCTGAACGAGTGTGTCTGGGAACCCTACGAACCCTGTCGTTGACAATAACAAGTCCACAGCCCTATAATAAGGACCCTATGAGAATCATTTGGTGGTCGCAGGGTCCTCCATTTTGGGGCTCTTCGGTTACCCAAATCGTCTTATTAGCTTAGGCCGTTCATCCAAAAATATTTGAAGAATGACTTGAGCGCATCCTATACCATCACCATAGCTGTAGAGGCCATAGTGGACAAAGATAACCCCTGGGCCTCATCAACCTCAACACCCTAACCTCTAAGACCCTCGGCAGTCAATGTCAGATCCATGTGTATCACTAGGGCCCTATCAAAGCTTCGTAGCCTAAATCTTGAACTCTCAACCCTAAACGCGACACACTTGCAACACTTTGAGCCTCCCGTGGTGGAGCCGTCCATGAGCTTCAGGAAATAGTAGTACTTCCGTGCACTGGAGCCTCAGGGAATTTTCAGCCCTTGTGTGTTTGGGGTTCAGGGATGCGCTGGATTTAGGACTGTAGGCTCAAGGGATTTAGGCTTCAATTGCCTAGTCTTCCTTAATCCATAGAACGCGTGAGACATGTAGGCAAAGAAGCGGGGCACAACGAGACCCTTGCCTAGCTATTGAGTTCCCTGATGAGAGAAAGGTTGGCCTGCTCACTCCCATAGCATTTAGCATGCCCGAACCATGACAATATGTGGGCGTTATCTAGGAATAATGGGAAAAATAATGGAAGCTACTATACTTTTCCCTGAGCCCTAAACCCTGAACCTAAACCCTAAAACCCTAATCCCTAAACCCAAAACCCTAATCCCTAAATTACGATATAATGGCACCCCACCTAGCTACGAATCTTACGCCTGAAGCTCGTAAGCTGGTTGTCGTCAGTCTCACTTGGCACTCCTGATTGGCCGATCGTTGGGAAGAGTTCATGGCTCTGTGGGGTTTAGGGTTTAGGGGATTAGGGTTATAGGGGTTTAGGGTATAAAGCGGTTTAGGGTTTAGGGCATTACGGTTTCGGGCATTAGCGGATTAGGGTTTAGGGCATGAAGTTTGGAGGTGAACATGGCCTCCCCTCTTTAAATATACTCGGAAAAGTGTGCAGCTTGGCCCAGTACCGTCGATGGCCGTGTTGCCCACCTCGAGGTAAGAGGCAGCGGCTGTCCAGGTTCATGCCGAAACAGCCCAGTGTCTAAGAGAGATCTCCCCCAAGTTGTCATGTAACATTACAACGATACTGTATCCAGGCTGCCAGAAGGCGCCAATATTCTGGGGCAACCCGTGCAGGTGTGATACTGTGATAACACATAGCAAAACATGCTCCATGCAATGCCGTGCGGTTTCCCTGTGCAAGTTGATGCCGACCGCAGGTAATCTTCCCCAACCCATCCAGTGCAATAAGATGTTTGACAAAGGTAGTAGGTAGCTGCAAAGCTACTCAAACCCAAAGGGGATTGCCAGTCTAATGCACTGGCTGCTTTTCAAAGCTAGGGGTGCCCAATGGTATGTTCCTGTTACGAAGTCGGCTCCCAACTTTTGCAAACGTTTCTCTGTTCCCCTTATACCCCTTCGTATGGCAGATTTTCTAATGGTCTGTGTAGTCCCTTATCAGAAGCTGCAGAGTGCTTTCACAATTCCTATATCTCACCGATTTTGGTCAGAACCCCCTATGCTTTACACCATAAGGCCCCCACATAACTGCGCTCACAAGAAAAAGACACCCTGCAAGCCCCCTGAACAAAACTTCTTTCTGAAAAGCTCACGCTTTCCGATGCAGGGATCAGCTCAGCCGAGGACCAGCTGAGACATGGCTTTCGCGCAGGAATCAAAGCCAAGGGACCTGAGCGTGGGGTGGGGGCGGGTAGAATGTTAGTGACTGTGCATATCCACATGCCCAGTATATGGCCGTACACGTAAACATAGTCAGGGTGACCAAATCAGGATCTACATGATATCATATTTGCTCGAAACAGGATCAAAGATGGACTCGTCCGCTACGCTGCTTCCATCAAATCAGAAACTCCACCCACACTCCACCTCAGCCGTGCCGCAATTGATCTCTCCACCCACTAAACCCACTAGTTGTGACCAATAAGGACACAGTTGAATTATCGTGGGGTCTCCTGCGATTAGTGGACGGGGGACGCACTTACAGTATGCAAGTAGCTTTGACTTCTGTAAGCCTGCAGCTCAAGATCGCGAGTGCTCCAAAAATGCAAATGCCACAAACAACTCGATCAGAAGGTCCAAGTACCCAATCGCTATTAATCTGGGATGTTGGTAATAGAAACTGCAATACAGCAATATAACTTTTGTTCGCAAGTCTATGATTATTATGTACTTGGACCCTTGAGGTCGCGCACATGCATGCCAGTTTGCTCCTGCTGGTCACGTGCGGAGACATGTGTCAACTGTAACCCCCTAGACCCATACGAAAACATTGAATTTGCTAATTCCTAATTAGGGTTATGGATACTGTAATCAAGCAAAAAAACTAAGTTGACTACAGTATATGGGATCCCTGCTTTCAACTCCCAAGCAAGATCGCAGACCTCTACAACCTCAATCCGAACCCCGAACCCTACGCTCTCTAAGCCTATATCCGCAAAACCTTATACCCAATCAACGAAGCGACTTGGCGGGGAGTTGACTGGCTGGGCACCTAGCGCCTCTACAAACTCGTTCACCATGCTGCCCTCGATGCCGCAAGGCACCCCGACCACGGCTGTTTTCACCTTGATTCTAACAACGCTCTGAAACACTTCATACGGCAAGCCTAGCTCCTGATGCGAATTCTATGTAGCGCTGCGAACAACAACTCTGCGCACGTACGCAGGCTATGGTGCGGCATGCATTTAAGTTGGGCCTCCTCACTGCCACTGAAATGCAACCTTGACTTCTGAGTCAAAGCCACCCTTCAAGCAATGCTGAACGACTTGTGAAACCACGAGGCCCCGTCCACAAGGAAGCAGGCATGACAATAGTCCCTCTTTGGCCTTGTTGGTCTTGAAGAACTCGGCCAAGTAGGCGGCATCGGTGTTCGTGCCTGTTATGAGGCGCTCTGAAACAATCACATCCACCGGGTTCTGAAGAATCTGCCTGCCATAAGAGTCCCTGCACCTATGTGGAAATTCATCCGGGCCAGACTAACTGTTTAGGACCCATGTGGGCCCCAGGTATTTACTGTCTTAAATACCTGGATTCTTGGGGTCCTATCTTGCTTGAGCTTGGTTCGCGCACGGTTGCCAAGGACCTTGTCAAGTGAGGTCTGTGCCTATCACATGTGTGATTCTTGCAGGCGACTCTATGAAACAAGTTGGGTGCCATTCTGAGACCTCCAGCACAAGGTCTAAACGCGATGCATAGCACAGTCGGTAAACTTAGTTCTAAAGAAACAGATAAGCACGTTGTGGGCGATTGGTGTTTGCAACACTGAGATCCAAGCGGGCGCCCCCCACCAAGACAAGCCCGTCCAGGTTCAACTCCTGGCAACTTGGCACTTTGATTCAGCTGCTGAGGATTGTTGAAACCGTGCCCACCCTACTATACAATCAGGCTGAACTGGTGTTGCTCGTCTGTCACTTGTGCTTGCTGGCTTTGCCTCTGAAAGCAAGAGAAAGACAAAGTCATTTTGCACGAGAGAAGTTTTCTGAAAACCTGAACCACTCTTAGCGGGGTCTCCACAGGAGCATCTCAGACCAACTGCCGCTATCTGCTTCGTTTTCCATATGATGAAGTCAATGTTGGAGACCTCATGATACGGGACGGATTGTACCGGACAAGTTAGAGAACTATACCGAAGACGCGTATAATGCTGGGGACTATTTCTTTATATAAACCTGTAGTTTGAGGTCAGGCCGATGAGACGGTTATGGTTTCCCCAGATTGTATTGCTAGAGCCTCAACGTACTTAAGGATAGGTGTAAGTTAACTGGCGAAAATCCTACAGATGAGTAGTTTTTTTTGGTGGTTAAACCTAATAAGATTATGTAAAATACTATACCCCAAAAGGAGGATATAATCTTACTCTATATTGGGTACCATAGTATCCCCAAATAAGATACTACTCAGATGAGGCTATCTATCCCTCTAGCAGGTACCTCATTCTTATCGTAGAACTGGCTGTGGGGCTACTTCAGTTTGCTGAAAATATGGGTATCTTTCTAAATCAGGATCTCCTACATGCACTCTTTGGGCTAACTACCTCGGGCTTATTCCCCAATGTAACCCCTATATAACCCCAATGTAACCTCTACATAACCCCAATATAACCCCTATATAAATTCCACTTCCCTGACTGAGAACCTGACTCTACATATAGTATATTAGGGGTTATATAGGGATAATGGAAAAAGAAAATGGAAACGACTATAGGGATAATGGAAGAGAAAATGGAAACTACTATAATTGGGGGGTATATAGGGATAATAGAAAATAAAATGGAAACTACTATACTGGGGGTATACCAGGATAATGGAAAAGAAAATGGAAACTAGATCCCTGGAACCTGATTTCTGTAAAACCAGTCTGGACAATGCTAATAACTTGGACTGTCTCACAGACCTCTCCACATAAGTGACCCATGCTTTACTTTGCGGACACCCTTAAGTAGGCATGTACGACAACTAGCGAAATCCAAAAGCTTGTAGAATGACAGGCGTGTTGTTGATTCGTTTTAGGTACTTTTGGGGTCCAGCTACCCTTGCAAGTAGCCCTATACACCCAAGCAGGTGATTCCACGATGTCCTGGCAGGCGCGCATGGCGCTCTCAGACTCGTCCTGCTGCGTGGTTAACAGCTGTTCAGGGTTAAGGCATTAATCATTAGGGTGGAATCCTACACCCTAAGCCCTCAAACCCCTCAACCCTCAGATTGGGAAAAGTGCAGCAAACTTTGCAGACTTATTTAGTCATGAGTTGGGAGACTTGTTTAGTCATGAGTTGGGGATGTCACCTTCTTGAAGTATGGGTGGCTTGGCACAATGAAACACTGGCACCCTAAACAGAAGAACCCACAGGTCGTCTCTAGGCTCAGGGTTCGGAGCTAGGGCTTTAGGTGTCTGTCTCAGCTGAAAGGCAGCTTTCCGTTCAGAAAGTCAAGGGCTTTGGGCTTGAGTGGCGCACCGTATGGGGCCCCTTGTTTGGGGCCTCCATAACGAGTATGATGGTTTGGAGTCCATATTGGGGTCCGCCCAACCTGTAGGAAACTACCATATTACATTGTGCCTCAGTGAGAACACGACAAGCTGGCCGAGCCTTTGTGTTGATGCGATCAACCGTTCGCCCAAGCCTCAGCATTGACACTGTTTCCGGACATGCCACCTTTTAGGTTTAGGGAACTTAAATATCGCACGGGCATAGACACTACTGGGCAGCGGCTGAGGCAAGCCACTGCTGCATGAATACCAGCAAACAGGTGCTAACGTGGAGTGTGGTTGGCGGAAAACGCGGGCCTTTGATGTCATTCCATGCGCCTGTTTGAGCTGCACTTGTCCTTGAACTTTCTTGGCTTCGCACATTTCCAAGCCGCCTGCAGACGTCAAGTTAAAAGCGCCAGTTCAGAGTTTGGGGTGAGAAGATGGAGTCAACCTGGTGGTATGGCAATTACCCAGTCTCTAGACAGTGAGGTTGTCAAACCTCATATTTCAGACATGGGCACGCAGCAAAAAAAGGGACCCCCAAGCAGGGTTCTTCGACATGGAATTTAGCCTCCTGAAGAATCCTTAGCAAAACCCTATGGAGAGACCCATGTAGGTAATATTGACACACTTCTGGGCCCAATGTAGATATTATTTGTATGCTTGGATCCCTGGGAAATAAGAAGCCTTGCCTGTGCCACGGAAAGCCTCGCAAACCTCTGGCGTGATCTCCACAGTCTGAGCAAGCAGCGCTCAAGACGGGTTGAAGGTTTGAAGCTCTCTTCGTGGCTTGGGAGGATTAAACAGGTTTGAGCCTTTTCGGAAGGTGTGGCTTTCAGAAGCTGACAACCAATTAGTAGACCTTAAGCTTTGCGAATTTGGGTTCAGGGTTCAGGTTCTGCAAGTTACGGTGCCTGAAACCTTAGTCTCAGACAGCAACTGCACTGCATTCCTCCAGTTGCTCTTCGATCACGGCTAATATGAAAAAGCTCTAGCGCGCATCACCTGTAGAACAACTTTCCGAAGGATCTAAGTACTTCATGATCATATACTTGCCCCAAGCCTGTACTACAATGACTAGTACCAAAATCCCAAGTACCCAATGGGTACTTGGACCAGTAGGGTCCTTGTAAGAGACCTTAAGCTGAAGGGGGTTCGTATGATTACGAAACGGTAGGAAGTGTTTCAGGGGAACTCTTTTGTTTCAGTCTTTAATAGACCTGAGCCTGTAAGCCCTACAGAATCCAGTTAAAACTCCAATGTAAGAACAACCCAGATTACCCTCCCTAAGCTCACAAGGAGGAGTCACAGAAGTGGCCCCATAGGGCAGGGTGCATACAGGTATGCCTTGTGTCTTCTGAACTGCAGCAAGCTTTGCAGAAGCAGCCGCTTGGGCTAGCTTTGTAAACACAAGTTGAGTCAAGAAGGATTGTGTAGCACCACAACAGAGATTACCAGTAACACGTACTGCCAACAGAAATCGATGCAGGCAAAGGACAGAAAGCCAGTGTCAGCAGCACTGGCACTTATACTAGGTATGGCAGTTTCCCAACATGGGGGGACCCCCACTGTAGACCCCAAAATACTATGATCCTTATTATTGGTGCGCCTTGGGAAAAACCATATGAAGCCTTAGCCGCCATGATTATGGCAGACATCTCGCGATGGGAGCTCCTCAAGATTGGCGTCCCCTTAAAGGGACCCTATGGACATATGGAGAGTACAGGGGCAGTATGGGTGCTCTCATTTTGGACTTTATTTGGGTTGTTTCGAGAACCTCCCAAATTGGATCTTTCGGCCGCGACTCCGGCCTGCTTCTCCATGAAGCCATGCGTGCCGCCCACAAAGCCCAGCACTTTGTTGCCGAAGTTTGGCGGTCTGGATGCGGAAAAACACGCTGTAGCTTACAGCTTCCAAAGGGCGGGGGGGTCCATCCGAACCGTTCGGTAGCGAATCCCTTTCTCAGCGGGGCACTGTGTCTGATAGTCGAAGGAAGTGATTTCTGCTGCTGCTTAAAGCAAATCCTCTGCCAGCCCTGCAACTGCTATTGCTCCTCGTCCTCAAGCAGGAACCTTCCCTCACACTGAAGAGCCATCTTGCTACGAGTACTCACAGCTGAGACCTTAGAGTCGGACTGACAGAGCCTTTGGTTGAACCCACCACGACATGTAAACCACTGTAAAATATTTGCTTCAAAAGAAGCATGGCCACAGTCCAAGGTAGCGCTAGCCCTAATTACCAGCCCAAGAAAAAACCTTGCCCCTCACAATTCCGCATGGATGACCACAAGAGCTCGCTAAACAACAGATACCACCTATACGCTGAGGCATCCGCCTCATTTTCCAAGGGCCTGTGACCCACAGCCTGCATCCCCTCCCCCCAATAAAGTCGCACCTCCCCCTGATACTGAATATTCCCTGGTTAAAATATCAGGGTACTATATGGTAGTTTCCTAAACAGGGGCACCCCAACATGGACCCCAATATATTGTAATCCTGATTATGGGGACCGCCAAAAAAGGCACCCCTAATTTCGAACCCACCACCCCCTCCTTTTTGAGGTTCTGTTATTGACGGGCTGGGGGGGTGGGGTGTGTATTACTCGGGAAGGGAGAATCAAAATCAAAGCCTGAAGCCTGCAGTGTGACATCCCTACCGGACACCTAGGGAAACCTGCCTTACTGTGGAAGCCGGCATGAATAGCACCTGGACCCCCAAAGTATGTAGAATAACGGCCAGCTCGACCATTTGTTTAGGATGTTGGGCTCTGGCTTTACCTTCTTTGACCGTCCAGGTAATATTCTTCCCCTATAGCCCTTACGTAATTACAATTCCCTTATAGTCCTAGTGTAACTTCAATTCCTTTTTAATCCTCATGTAGTTATAATCTAACCCTTGGACCAGGAACTGAGACCCCCCGCAGCATGTCCACCAAGCCGCAGACAAAGTCGTGGCATCCAGGGGCCTCGCAGCTGGATTTAGGGTTTAGGGTTCAGGGTTTGGGGTTGGGTTCTCAGATGGGGGATAACCTTGGGAAGTCTGTATCTATGGGTTTATATGTACATATATGTATATATCTATATAGATGCACGTATGTGGTCGTTTCAAGAAAAGGAGGACCTCAATATAGACCCCAAATACTCTAACCCTTGCCATGTGCCCCAAAAAGGCACCCATGTTCTTCCCAACAGTCATACGAAGATCTTTGCTTTCAAGAAGGTCCCATTTCAGGCTTGGGGTAGAGAGTTGACCTTCAGGATGTGTCCTGACATAGGGTGGACCCAATTCTGGGGACTATGAGGGATAATGGTGCTTATACCAAGGTCCTCTTAAAATCCTATTATTCCTCTATTACTGGGTGGGGCTACCTAAGGGATACCTTGAAGTGATGAAGTGATATACCCTTCTTCTGTGGCGCTTACGGTGCGCGTGATAAAATTTGGGGTATCTAGGGGAATCAAAATACGTATTGAGGCATCCCGACTATGTCGAACATGGCAGATTTCGTCCAGCAAGTGGAGTAATGCAGGAGTCTGCATTATAGCTAGCATTGTTCAGGAGTGCTTGCCAAAAACAATCCCATCCCCCAGGCA